GGAATATAAAGAATAGCTATGAGAACTATGGAATGAATGTTCCCCGATTACTGCTAATTATCTAGGCAAAACATTTAAGAACTCTTCTGACTGTTGAATTTAGCGTTTGCTTTGCGTTTCGATATGGATTTTTTAAATGGGAATGTACAACCGATATCGAATTGAATTTCTTCTTGAAGACACTTTCCAGATCTCCATAAGAACCAGTCATTTTGCCGTTTTACCACATTATAGCTGAAGAACGAAACGCAGTTGTTGTTGTTCGATGGTCGTTTCAGCGAAACATAAGCAGAGTCAGCTTTTGGACACTGTAGCGGACAGTAAACCATCTGCTTGTTGCTCTTTGCATCATTCTCCTGCATTATTCACTCACATCACAAAGAAACAACGCCCAATTCTAACATGTTGTTGCTTAAACAATCGCATTGTACAGTCAGCTATCGTTGTATTTGCACTAAAGTATGCTAAAGTCTCATATTTTGTTAGTTAATCGGTAAATGCTTCCGTGTGTGCAGCCGTAACAGTTTTGACATAGAAACCAACTGCGTTACTTTCGAAAGTCCTAAGATTGTATGTGCACTAAAGTATGCTAAAGTAAAGCACTAAAGTATTGATATGATTGTGTAGGAGAATACGTACCGTAAAGCAGCCGCTATCGTTGATTGTTGTTCGTTCATTATCGCCATCTTTGAATCGAAGTGTACAGTCGGCCGGCTCACCAGGTGTCGTGCTCAAACACGTATACTGTCGATTTTCTAGAAATTAATTCATCCACGTAACATCTCATAGCGCAGATCGATTGCGGCTTATTGAACCCTTTCATGCATTATTGTTCAAGTAAGAAGGACCTATTCAAATGGATAAACGAATTTGCACAATTTTTTTTTGATCCAAATGTCACATTTAAGCATCGTCATTGCTGTTTTGCAATGGAATCGCATGATATTAGCGCATAAAACATTTTTACTCGAGAACGATGAATAAGTTGTTGATCAATAGTCATTTCATCTTTAATAGTTACTCATATACCTAGTAGGGGCAATTCCACCTCTCGTGGCAATTTCGAAACGCGACTAGGCGCAAGTGGCATCAACCATGACAGTATGGGGAATTTGTCAGAGGCATTCTGGTTTCAGTTCGTCTCGTCATTTTTCAATAAACCAGCAAATCTATTGCGCAATGAACACCCTACGATGGACAAATAAAAAAAGCTGGTCGAATTTCAAAGTGAATTCAGAGAACGAAGAACTTACCATTATGAGAAAATTCAGCCGAGCAAATAGCTAGAAGGGCAGTGAAAGAAGCAACAAGTAACATCTGAAAATCTGTTCAGTTCAAGCCGGATGTAAAGTCAAACTTGGCGAGTGATCGATACGTGAAATGTTTTGATGACTGTTTTTTGATTGAAACTCTTCGCAATCGAAAATCAAATCTTAATTGAGAGCGAGCGAGCTGAATGTTTGACCTAAAAAACAACGGTGACAAATGACCTCATTTGAATTAGAATGGTTGCGAAATGAAGGTGTGAAACAATTGTATGACGTTCATTTGAGTGAACGCCGAACGGCACAGATGCCCATCAATGATCATTATAAATTCACTTATATCATACTCACAATTAATGTATTTTCTCACGAATGATTTCTTCCATATCGAAGAAAATCAGATGCTACCATAGATAAATGCAGGACGTGGATGAATCCACGTGAACAACGCCTCGCTGATGTTAATCTCATCATTTCAGTGATTCATTAACTTCATTTAAATATTCTTCGACTGATAAGTAGCCAAATTATCAATGAACATGCTAAGAGATCCAATGGGCACTAAGAATGGCACCACTAGCATCAGCTGCTCTGAATATGCAGATTCAATCATGAGTATCACTATTCCTCAACATCAAGTGTGAATAATGGCCTCTTTGCCAAACCTAAATTTCCATCATGCTCGTCTTATAATCGGTGTTTGCACGGGACACTGACATTGTCATTTGAATCCTCATCCCGCGATGTACGTCCCAAATAATCCAGGGATTTTGATACTTGACAAAATACTGCATTTGATATAATTTTGCTGATATGCTCATCTTGCTTCACGCCAGTTAACCATTCCCAATTCATTTAAATTCAGTAATATTTGTTAATTCACCGTCTAAACTTCAATGAATTCAAGCATTGATCATCCATACTACTATCACATCTGCTTTCGTTCTTCAGAAAGCAATGAACAAAAAATTCGTCATTTTATCACTTTCGCTCCCTATATCGTCACCACCACTGAGTTGTCGTTCCATTATAATTGTTCTTCTA